GTGCTTCTGTATTTTCAGTTCCAGCGATTATCACTGAGTATGTTCAGTGATCGCTGAAGAACTTGCATTGTAAATTCATCAGAGACAGCAATACTTCAAGAAGACAACACTCACACCAAATAACCTTCAGCAAATGTCGAAGACTGAAACTAAAGATTACAGACTGGTGAGTACGTGATCTGAAGCGGTATTCAATTATTACAAGCCTGTCTATACATGTGTGAAGACTGCTCTAGCTTCAGCGAATGATGATGAGACCTCCAGGTCATTCCAGCATTCAGCGATCAAAGGAAGCTTGCTTAGCACGATTGTTGTTGTCTTGTCCTTATGCACATAGAGGACAAACCCATACCCTTACAAAAGTTAGTACGGTACGGAGCCGATTAGTCGACTCTTTGTCCACCAACTTTAGGCAAGGATGTCTGCTTAGAAATAGTGCTTTTGTACTATTCATTGTAGCAAAGTACAAGCCTTCCTCTTAAGGTTTGACACGCACTCTAAACCTACCATAGTGCATTAAATGATCATTTAATGCACTTGGTATAAATAGAACTGTTTCTTCTCCATGTAGAGAGCACGCATCTCTCTCTAACCTTATTATTACTTCAAGCATCTTCTAGCTTAAGTAAAAGATCTTTCTTTTAGCATTCTCTTTTCTTGTATTTGCTAAAGCTCTGTGTGTAACCAAAGATTGTTTAGATAGGTTTTCATTACCTTATCTTTCCGCAAACAGTCTTGTAAAATTTGTATTGATCTTCTCTATCAATATATATTTTAAATTTGAAAATATTGTGTTTGTATTCATCCCCCCCTTCTACAAATTGTTTCTATTCTTGTAGACCCTTACGGGACCAACACGTAGGACACCTTACGGGCTAGGACCGACTAGAGGATCTATTGATAGTCACCGCTCTAGAGTCGGGCATGTTTCAGGGACCCGGTCCAGAAGCGATAGTCTGGCCCACACTAGTGAAGTGTCATCTTGAGAGCCCATCAGGCGAATGACTACACCCAAGTCTTCGGAAGACTACACGCCCCGCACCCCTACACGTGAGGACATGATGGAGACTATAGAGACCTTGAGGGGCGAGAACACAAAGCTAAGAGAGAGGTTGACCCGAACTTTAGATGGGAATACTAGACTAAAGGAATGGCTGAACAATCTTCAGCAGGCACATGTCAAACAAGGAGGAGCCCTAAACGAGCTAATTGTAGAGAATGCAAATTTGTCGGAACAACGTCGTGCACTAATTTGGGATAAAGTTGTACTTGAACAGGAGCGAAGAATTGTTGCTCGTCCCGTAGGTGCTAGATTCAGAGACAGAGTTCACTTCTATAAGAAAATAACCATAGACTACACTGGTGTAGTGAGGGGCTATTTCTCTGACTGGGTCCAATGCATCAAAAATGGCCCAAAGGCTAGTGTGTTGTGGCATTCCAGGCCATCCACATCTTTTGAGGAGTGGTTGAGGGACCCTTATCTCCCTTATTACCCCGCAGATCAGTTTTAGACATAGAATCCTTTTGAGAGAGGGGAGAGAGAAAGATCTTTTGGGTATGTGATTTAATTGTGCGTGTCTTGATAGTTGATCGAATTTTCATCTGGTCCAGTGCTTCAATAGATTTTTTTGAGCATTCACATGATTTAGAGATGTGTTTAGAATTATGAAGTATCCCATCTTTTGTAAGTAAATGGGATTATGTAATGTCTCTCTCTCCATGATTGTTTATTGACACGAAATATATATAGCTTAATGAGCATTATGAAATTTTCGACGTGAATTCCTTATTATGTACTTCGCTTATATATAGTGATTATGTTATAAAAAAATGTAATGTGTTATGTTTGACTTTAGAACCATGTTAAAACAATAATACCCTATTATGTCAGTATGGTTTCTCGTGGATCAACAAGGAACACCCTCAATGGGAAAGGTACTAATGGCATGGCCCCACCAACAGTTCAAGGTCACGAGCACAAAGTTGAGGTCGAGGAAGTGTCTGAACCGCTAGTTCTAGTTCGACTCCATCCGCGCAAGCTAATTTAGCTATCGGTAGGAGTCAAGGAGGCCGGGGAGGGGAAAATCCCCTCACAAAGAAAATGATAGTTGAGCAAATGGCACAAGTCCTCCGAGATACATTGCCAAATATGCTTAAAGCAATGTTGGGTGACAGATTTAAATACAATGAAGATGGAGAAGAGGAAAGTGTTCGACATGAGAACACTCAAGCCACTGAAAAGGTGGAAGTATCTGTTAAAGAGAAGGTGGAGTCTCCCACCAACGAGAAAACTGAAATGACAATAAAGGAGAAAGGATGTAGTTTTAAAACATTCAAAGGCACCGGGATGAAAGAATTTAAGGAAATAGAGGGCCCAGTTGGCCTGATGAACTGGGCAACCAAGATGCAGAGTAGCTTCAAAATTTGTAGATGCGCCGAAGATCAAAAAGTGACCTATGCTGCTACAACCTTCGTGGACTATGCATTGCTTGGTGGGAGTTTGAGTGTGCAATCAGAGGTGATGAGGATATCGTTCCCAGGACTTGGGAGCAAATTAAAAAGATGATGATGGATAAGTACTGCACACAATCAAAGGTGAACAAGCTAGAATCGGAATTTCTGAGATTACAGCAAGGTTCGTTGTCGGTTCAAGAATATGTTAATGATTTTCTTGTGAAAGCGAGGTTCGCCAGTTACCAGGTGCTACCAAGGAGAGAAAGATAGGTCGCTTCAAAGACGGTTTAAGAATTGAAATTAAACGGTACGTGGACATGACTAAACCGACCATATTTGTCCAAGCAGTAGAGATGTCGAATGTGGCAGAGGAGAACAACGCTAGGGAGAATTGTGATAGAAGAGATGCAAAGAGAAGATGGGAAGGATTGAACAAGTTCAACAAGAAACCAAAATGGACTCCAACTCTGGCAAAAGAACGAATCGAGGGGTTCACTATTCCTCCATGTAACAAATGCAACAAGAGACATAGGGGAGAGTGTAGAGCGGGAAGACTGACATGCTACAAATGTGACAAACCTAGGGGTATCGCGCGGGAGTGCCCAGAAGGAAAAACTTATTATGAATGTGGGGCTACGGGACATTTACCACATGACTGTCCAAAACATCGAAATGGGGCGACACCCCATGAAAAGACAGTGAATAACGGATTTGGGAAGAGATCAGAAAATAGGAAGGAGCTACCTAAGGAACATGGCCGAGCTTACAACATAACTTTGGAGGAGGTCAAGGAAACACCCGACGTCGTATCTGGTATATTCCCTATCAACAATGTGTATGCACATGTATTATTTGATTCGGGTGCAAATGGTAGTTTTGTGTCTACTACCTTCTGTCACTATATGAATAGAAATGCATGTAGGCTAGACAAAACCTACACTGTAGAAACAGCCGACGGTAGTCAATGTAAGGTAGACGAAGTATTTGATGAATGCACAATTGTTATAGATGGTAAGGATTTCCCTGTTAGGCTTATGCCAATGTGTTTAGGGGGTTTTGACGTGGTCTTGGGCATGGATTGGCTGTCCGACAATCATGCACAAATAGTATGCAATAAAAATATGATCAAGATTCAGAGTCCGAATGGAGAAACAATTCATGTTTACGGTGATCGAAAGAAGTGCTGCGTAGGGTTAATCAATGCAGTTAAGGGGAATAGGTTTCTACGGAAGGGATGTGTGGCTTACTTGGCATACACCGTCGATGCCAAGCTCTAAAAGAAGGCAATACATGATGTTCCAGTGGTCAGGGATTACCCAGAAGTATTTCTAGATGAATTATCGGGAATACCACCGGAGCGTCAAGTAGAGTTCCGAATCGATTTAGTACCAGGTGCAGCACCAATCGCAAGGGTGCCTTATCGTTTAGCCCCAACAGAAATGCAGGAATTGATGAAGCAATTACAAGAACTCTTAGATAAAGGGTTTATCAGGCCAAGCTCGTCACCATGGGGAGCACCGATTTTATTCGTCAAAAAGAAAGACAGCACGATGAGGATGTGCATCGATTATTGAGAGTTGAACAAAATCACGATAAAGAATAATTATCCATTGCCAAGGATCGATGACCTCTTCGATCAATTGCAAGGAGCCAGTTATTTCTCGAAAATCGATTTAAGATCGGGTTACCATCAGTTGAAGGTTCGAGAAGAGGATGTGTCAAAGACCGCTTTTAGGACTCGTTACGGACATTACGAATTTGTGATAATGCCGTTTGGGTTAACAAATGCACCTGCGGCATTCATGGACTTAATGAATCGAGTTTGTGGACCGTATTTGGACCAATTTGTCATAGTCTTTATAGATGACATTTTGATATATTCAAAAAGTAAGAAGGAGCATGAGCAACACTTAAGGATGATTCTTGAATTACTAGCAAAAGAGCAATTGTATGCCAAGTTCTCAAAATGTGAGTTTTGGTTGCATGAAGTACAATTCCTTGGTCATGTAGTCAACACGGAAAGGATCAAGGTGGATCCGGCTAAGATAGATGCAGTTATGAACTGGGAATCACCAAAGTCAGTATCGGAGATCCGAAGTTTTCTAGGCCTAGCGGAGTATTACCGAAGATTCATCCAAAATTTCTCCAAGATAGCAACCCCTTTGACAACACTGACAAAGAAGTCGGTTAAGTTTGATTGGGGAACGAAACAAGAAGAAGCATTTCAGACACTTAAGGAGAGACTAAGCACTGCACCGGTTTTATCACTACCGGAAGGAATAGAAGATTTTGTCGTTTATAGTGATGCATCAAAAATGGGTTTGGATTGTGTACTAATGCAGCGAGGCAAGGTCATTGCATATGCGTCACGTCAGTTGAAATAACACGAGAGGAAATATCCAACTCACGACATGGAATTAGCAGCTGTAGTCTTCGCGCTAAAAATCTGGAGACACTATTTGTACTGTATGAAGTGCATGATCTATACTGATCATAAGAGCCTTAAGTACTTGTTTGATCAAAAGGAGCTAAATATGAGACAAAGGAGATGGATGGAACTACTTAAGGATTATGATTGTGAGATTCACTACCATCCAGGTAAGGCAATGTAGTTGCCGATGCACTTAGTAGGAAGGAGAGAAACGGACCAATCAGGGTTCGAGCCATGTGGATGAGTGTTAAAGTGGAGTTGCTAGACCGAATTCGGGATGTCCAGAAGGAAGCTTTACTCGAAACGAATATTAAAAACGAGTGAATGGTTGGACAAATTAAGACTTTGACGGCCGGACCAGATGGAATATATAGACATGGGAATCGAGTTTGGATACCTAGTTTGGGGGACCTAAGAAATGTAGTGATGGATGAAGCACATAAGTCCAAATACACTATGCATCCAGGTAGTAATAAGATGTACAAGAACATAAAAGAAAGCTATTGGTGGCCTTATATGAAAAGGGCAGTAGCTAGCTATGTGGGGAAATGTTTGACGTGCTTGAAAGTGAAGACAGAGCATCAAAAGCCATCTGGAATGTTGTAACAAATGGAGATCCCAGTATGGAAGTGGGATATGATAACAATAGATTTTGTCACCAAACTTCCAAGGACGGTAAAGGGACACGACGCCATATGGGTAATTGTGGATCGACTAACGAAATATGCTCACTTCTTACCTATCAGCGACAAGTATACATTAGAAAGATTGCCCCAACTTTATGTCAATGAGATCGTGTCGAAACATGGTGTACCGATATCCATTGTCTCAGATAGAGATGCTAGGTTTACTTCGAGGTTTTGGTCAAGTTTTCAACAAGAAATGGGAACACGGTTGAACATGAGTACTGCATATCATCCTCAAACTGATGGCCAGAGTGAGAGGACGATACAAACTCTAGAGGATATGTTGAGAGCTTGTGTGATTGACTTTGGAGGTAGTTGGGACAACCACCTTCCATTGATAGAATTTGCTTATAACAATAGTTACCACTCGAGAATCAAGGAAGCACCATTTGAAGCATTGTATGGCCGCAAGTGTAGAACCCCAATTTATTGGGCATACATTGGAGAGAGACAACTAGTTGGACCCGAGTTAGTCCAATAGACATCTGATAAAATAGTACAGAACGGGGAGAGGTTAATGGTTGCGCAAGATAGACAAAAGAGTTATGCGGATAGAAGGCGTCGACCTTTGGAATTTCAAGTAGGTGATAAGGTCTTGTTGAAAATATCGCCATGGAAAGGGGTCGTAAGATTTGGGAAGAAGGGTGAGCTAAGTCCAAGGTATATCAGATCATTTGAGATAACTGCAAGAGTAGGAGCAGTTGCTTATCAGTTGAAACTACCAAAGGAGTTAAGTAGTATTCACGATACCTTTCATGTGTCGAACTTGAGAATATGTTTAGCTGACGAATCAACTGTTGTGGATTTGAAAGACATCGAGGTTAACGACAAACTCGCTTATGTGGAAGAGCCAATTGATATATTGGATAAAAAAACAAAAAGACTAAAAAACAAAAGTATACCACTGGTATTAGTTAAGTGGAAATTCCATAACGGCGTAGAAATGACGTGGGAACCAGAAGAAGAGATGAAAGCTAAATATCATCAATTGTTTTAACGAGTATTAATTCCGAGGACATAATTTCTTGAAGGAGGGAAGAGTTGTAAAACTCAAAATTTTGAGGAATAAATAATTTATCTTCATTATTATTCTTTTCATTTTCTTAATTATAAAACACACACACACACATGTACTTATACTTATATATATATATATATATATGTTAAATAAATATATAAATTAAAAGAAGTTTAAAAATCGGATTAAAGATGAAAGAAAAAGTCAAGACATGGGTGAAAATTGTAAATTTGTGATAGTTAAAGGGTGTGTCAGGTGTTAACAGGTCCAAACTAGAAGGACCTGTTCTGTAAATATGCCATTTTCTGATTCTTGAAAGTGATGGAACGATGCCAACTTTGAGGCTTCTTATTGGCTCATTCAGTCAATCAATAAGCCAAAAAAAATCAGGAATATATAGACAACGTTCTTCTCTACATTTTTCGTTCAAACTTTTTGAAATTTCGTTGAGAATCGGAAGAGAAATCGGAGCTCGAAAGTCCCCATCCGAAATCTTCGTTTTTCGTCGATTAAAGGTAAAATGCTCAACTAAAATTCATGTTCTTTATATGGTTAGCTTCGTTTTTTAGTCCTCTATGGAACCCTAGTAGCCTTACATTCCAGATTTGGTGTTTTATGGTTTGATTTTGAAGTTTAAAGTTTCGTTCGGTTTAGTTTAAAACTAAAAACCTTAAATGAGAAAATGGAACTCAATTCTTGACGAAAAATTTGTGTTCTTTATGTCAAAGTGTTGGTAAAAATATTACCAAGAGTTTGGTGCAAAAAGAATGAAGAAAAAATGTCAAGAAATGAGCCATTTTCAAGCTCAAAAAGCTTGAAAATGTGTAGCAAAGGCTGCAGTCTTCGTCTTGGTTCATGGGCTATTGTTCTTGCTGGGTCACGTGTTCCTACTAAAAATAGGTAGAAAGAGGAGAGTGTTGAGGATGGGATTCAAACCCGTGACCTCATGCAAAACATCCAACACCTTACCAGTAAGCTACACAAGAACTTTGTTATTTTGTATGCGCTTATATTATTAGTATGCACTAAATGTTTGAGTTTCAGAAATTAGTTTTAGAAATATAATTTTCTCTATAAAATTTTATGAAACTTTCATCAAGTTTATTTGTATTTTGTAAAATGCAAACTTTGACCCAATTTTGATTATTTATCTCGTTTAATTACCAAAATGCCTCTAAAATTAAAGATTGTGTATTTTGAGCAATACGTGACCATTTTGCTTTATAAAAATACCTTCAACGTTGAAATTTACTACTTTAACTATGTAATTATTTGGGGATAATTAGAATTAATCATTTAAATAATTTAATATTTTTTTATGAGATTAAAGCGTAGCTCTTGAGTTATATATATATATATATATATATATATATACATATACATATATATACATATATATGTCGTCTAGACATTTATTCTATAAAATATGATTTTATGGAGTTATAAAATGAATAATTGACTATACAAGGTGTTACTCGAGTTGTAAATTTATTAGGACGATTTTAATTCGAAATATGTAATTATTAACATGTCTATCATATAATAGATAACTTAATAATCACGTGTATAATGTCGTTTTAAGATATATAGTTAGACGATAGACCTTATGTCGGAACTCACGGTTCCTATAATTTTAATTGATGTGAGGAGCGTTCTTAAGCATAGACGATACACCTTATGTCGGAACTCACGGTTCCTATAATTTTAATTGATGTGAGGAGCGTTCTTAAGCATAGTTGACCAAGGTTGACCCTAGTCGATGTAGTTGACCGTAAGTTGACTTTTTATGTTAGCCTTTGGGAGAAATTAATCATTTATATGCTATTCGCTATTATAAATTGTAGGTTACCAGTCAGCGACATTAGTTAAGCAACCTTCGTTATCAGGTGAGTCTTCATGAGATTTCACTGGGATGCATACCTAAGTACAAATTTATTTTTACATGATATGAATTGTTGATGATATGTACGTATGCATGATATTTCAAATACATACATGTTATATATATTTTAAATGTATGTTATTTTGTGAATTGTTACATGCTATGTGTTTAATCAGTTTTCGAATAACTCTAGCATGCTATTCCATATTAAAGTTTTATGATTCAACGGTGGACATTTGACCAGTAAGTCATGACCAGTATAAAACACGACCCGAATAAGTGGTTGATCAATTAAGACTGACATATCAACCCAGGGCGTGTTTGTGACTAAATGACTCATACCCGACTAAACATTATATGAAATCTCTTATTTTCAGTGTTTTAAATATATATATTTTTAAAGCTGTGACTTTTATTATAAAACATGCATATATGTCATATATATAAGTCAAGATATGATTTTATTCACGCAAACCATGAACTCACTAAGTTTTATAAGCTAACTATAGTATGCATCTCAGGGCCAGGTAGTTCGAGGTTGGATAAGGCCAAATGACACGCTTAGAGAGTTGCTAATTATTATCTTATTTTTAGTATTTTGTCTAGCAGCGTTGTGTCGATCTTTTGTAACTTAACCTGGTATGAGGTGGGWTAGAACTTAAGTTAATTTTTGGTTGATTCAAAGACTTTCGCTGTAAACGGTTTAAACGGTTTTATTTTAGTCGTCTTTTGGAGTATTTATTTAGGAATTTGTTTCAGATTACGTAACATCCTTCAAAAAAAGAATGAGGGCGTTACAATAATTATTGAAATCTAACAAAATAAATAATTATTATCTTTCTAAGAAAATTATATTATTAAACTAAATATAAATTACTTCATTACTGAACCTAAATTAAGTTATAATAAAAAAAATTAAATTAAAAAATTACACAAAAAATAGGAATTTTAAATCGTTAATTTGATACTAATATCGATATATTTTTGTCAATTTTTTATTATATTTTCAAATTTATATTTTATTCAAAAAAAATATCGTCGTTTTTTCAAAATCACATGAGACCATACTATAAAATCGACTGAGATAAAAAAATAAAATAAAATATAAAAATCAAGATGTATTTCGTTGTATTAGGTAAGTACGCTTCCAGTAATATAAAAATACAAATAAGCACTACCATATTTCAATAAAAAAAAGTATATTTTTATTTGAAACATAAAATGTTTAAGAAGGCAAAATGAAATGAAATTGTCGGCTTCCTTATATGAACATGAAACGCTAACCATTCATCCCCAACTTCCATCCCTCTCACCCGTACTTCTCTCTGAACCTACCTTCTCAACTCAAAAAATGGGAGCATTCTCAAGATTTATAGCTCATCTCTACACCCTTTTCTTGGTATTCTTCACTGTCCTCTTCTTGGAGCTGGTAATCTTGGTTCGTTCGGTCGTCGGAACAATTGGGTACGCAGCGGCCGCCGATGACCTTCCAATGACCACCGCCCAGTACCTCAAACTGATTGAAGAAAAGAATCCGGCCAGTCGGTACAGAGCCTCCGGAGTAGAATCCAAAGAGTGCTCCGTTTGTCTTTCGGTTTTAGAAGACGGGGATGAGATTAGGAGGTTGAAATGCAAGCACACGTTCCACAAGGGTTGTGTTGATAAGTGGTTGGAGCAGGATAGGGCCACGTGTCCGATTTGCCGGAGGTTGGTGTTGCCGGAGGCGATCGTGGTTAGGTACAGTCAACGACGTCAGATTCAACCCCATCGCCGTCGCAGGGAGTTTTACGGCGGGAGTGATGAAGAGCTGATTCTTTTGTTGACTTCTTTACACGGTAATTATATGCGTAGATTCATGTAAATTAGATGTATTTCTAGCGTTGGTAGTTGTAGAATGGATTAGATTACATACTTTTAATGATTATAAAATGGGAAATCCTTCATGGATTCTGTGAATTCGTGGTTTGAAGTCATTTCTTCAAGAACTAAAAAAAACTGGTTTTCTGACAGTCAAAGTTGTAATAAAATAATGTTTTCAAAAGATGCAGAAATCAGTAAAACGAATCTGTTGGAATATACATTAGAAACCAAAAGCTTGATTACATTGGAACAAGCTTTGATTTGAACCCCTATGGATTGAAAGATTCATGAACCAAATTCAATTCTTGTTATTAGAAAGAAACATTCATTGATTCAACTGTAATAAAAGCTCTTTGGATGGAAAAAATCTTTACCCAAAACCAATGCTTGTTGTCAGAAAGATTGATGATTTGATATTAAGAAATCTTGAACCAAAACCAAGGATTGTTATCAGAAACATTCATGAATTCAACAATAATCAAAAGCCCTTTTTGGATTGAAAGAATCTTGAATCAAAACCAATGGTTGTTATCAGAAACATTCATGAATTCAACTGTAATCAAAAGCCCTTTTTGGATGGGAAGAATCTTGAGTCAAAACCAATGTTTTTTACCAGAAACATTCATGAATTCAACTATAATCAAAACCCTTTTGGATTGGGAGAATCTTGAATTAAAACCAAGGCTTGTTATCTGAACAATTCATGAATTCAACTGTAATCAAAGCCCCCTTTGCATTGAAAGAATCTTGAACCGAAATCAAGGCTTGTTACGGTAAAGATTCATGAATTCAACTGTACCATCTCTTAATTCCCACCTATGGATAGAAACTAGAAGGCTATGCGTACCATGTGTGGAATTGATGACATTGATTGCGGTTGGCTGCCTAACCCTACTTCAAAATGCTTTAATCTTCTTGCTTCACGGTTGCCTTTCCTAACATTCATATTCTAAGTTAAAAAGACGTCTATTCATTGATTTCTTTATGTCCCAAAGTCTATATGTTCCTATAAATGCACATGTTCTCTAACTTTGTGTTTCTTCCTAGTTTTGAGCTTTAAATTAATGTGCATAAAAGTTACCCCATAAATTCCATCATCACTGCCAATGCTACCAAGCTATTGCTTCTTTACTCCCTACCCACATAAAGCATCTGATCTTGATATGAATGTTGTTTTGCCAAATACATTTCATTCATTTGCTGATCGTTCGATTATTCTACCTTCTTGAGCATTTTTCAAGTGAATAGACTCGATACACTTTGGATCATGTGAGACCACCTCCTAGCCGTCGGATCTCCTTGGTCTTGTGAACCTTCATGTTTTTTCCCGATCCTTCAAATTTTTTATGTTCAAGGAAAAATGTGAAGGCTCAGTAGATCCAATGGCTAGGACGTGGTTTCACGTGAATCCAATAGTTCTTCAATAAGCTCTTGCTCCCTCCATTTGTGGTTGTCTTTTTGAAGGTAGGCTATGCTAACTAGTAAGTGCGAACCGAGTGAGTCTCTTGATCCTTACCACAATAACATCTTGGCCAATGACATTTGTGTGTGAGAAGATGTAGGTAAACGACATTATTCTTACCAGATTAGCACCACTTAACCAGCAAGAAGTGGCAACTGTTTAGTAAACAGACCCTTAATTTTAAACAATCCTCCGTATCTTGGTCAAGAACATGGTGAATTGGTGATGACGGTGCAAGCTATATATGCTATTTGTCTTTTGGCTAATCATGGTGTGGTAAGCTTTTTGTTTAATTTCGACATCATTTGTCGCCGTATGTCTTGCTTTTGATAAACAGGTCGTCATCGACAAGTCAAAGAAGGATTTCTCATGATGCAAGGGTTGAAAATATGTACAATCAGCTTATTAGCTACATATTAGATTAAATTAATATAGGGAGTAAATTGCATAAAATTTATAAGAAGTGTTTTTACTATAGTAACAACAACCATGATCCTTATATTATTCTCTTACATAGTATTTTAAGAATTTATTATGTACTTTAATAAATGTTATTTATATCTATTCTAATTATTATAAAATAAATAATAATAAATAACCATAGTTATATTCTAGACAGCTGAGTGAGAACTTAAATTAGGGTAGAGAGTAAATATAAGGTGCATTGCAGTGATTGTTTTTGGTTTTGACTCCCTATATTAGTTAAATTATAGATATGTAGGGTCATTGGAGTTGTTTCATATAATAAGCATAATGTTAAAAAGATTTAATGCATATAGTTGGTGTTTGCAGCTTAAGTGGAACAACCCTCTAATAATCGTTAGTGCAAGCATCTATAACAGTTGATATAATTTTTAAAAAATTAAAAGTAATGTATTTTAAATATTTCAATATCCATTATATTATTAAAATATTTTCATAAATTTATCATCCTAATACATTTTTTAAAAAGAATTTATATAAAATTATAATAATTCAATATTTATTGTTGAAATGAATTGAAAAAACTTAATTTCTTTCTTCATACATCAGGTTTTAAAGAATTTTATAAACTTTAAATTTTTCTAGTTTTCTCTATTTTAAAGAACTATACAAAGAATTTCTTAAAGCTATTACCTCACCAATTAACTAATCAGACCCGAACCCCTCCTCGGGCGGATTCCTCCTTTTACTCCTCAGCCTACAAGGGTATTAGTAGCTGTTGTTCTCCTCCCAAGGACACGTTCTTATATTCCATACATCACACTAGATAGATATCATTCATGGAATACAATTCACTTTCAAGATGCGCAACTATGAACTATGTCCATCTTATCTGGATCACAAAAGGATTCAGTTACATTTGGATGTCAATCATTTGTGTACCTTAGTGTTCCTAGCTATCCACTCAATTTTATCACCTATGTATTGTTGTAGCTAACGCGTTAAGTATCCCGCCTAAAGCACGTTCACAAAAGCGGAGCCAGAATAAAATGCCCATAAAAAAGACGCTCAATGAACATTCTCAATATTATGCCTTGAAGAAGATTGGAATCTCCATTTTGGTACTAAGCGTAGGTTGATAACCAACAGCAGAAGGCATTCATATAGAAGAAAAACACCATATTTTCTATTTAAAAAAATCTGTTAGAAATACTTTTAGATCCTGTTCTTTAAACCTTTACTTCTCTCTCCCCTTTTTATTTGTATGTCAATACAATTGGAGTTTTTTTTATAAAGAAAAATCTAAATTAGATTTAATATACACTTCTAAGGGGTTGTTTGATTGTTTTTCCATCGAGTTCTTTATAAATAATGCTGAGTATATGGATTAATCTGTCTGTATCAATTAAGATACATTATTGCTTGTTTGTTATGCTAAATAAACGGTTTGGATGTCAGAAATGACTATATTACTTCTCCTTATATATTAAACTTTTGTTAATATAACTATTATAAAAATTATCAAATTAAACAACTTTTAGAATATAAAAAAAACATTATCAAACATAAATATAGGAATTCAGTGAGATAATCAGCACAAAATTTAATAAGTAGTTATACTTTAAATAAATAAATCATAACCAACTTCATTTTAACAGATTTTGGTTTGGTTCGGTTGAATAATTCACATTCTAACGAACTTCATTTCCTTCCAATCGATTCAAAATCAACTCGCTACCACCATAAGTTAAAGTAACTCATGATCATAATAATAAAATTTCAAAAATCCATATATACTTGTATCTAGGGGTGCTCAAAAACCCGACCAACCCGATCGATCCAATCAACCCAACCTAACCCAACGCAAAATAACTCCAACTCGATTTCTAATCGAGTTGTAAATTTTCTAACCATAGGTATTGTGTTGATATTAGGTTACAATTATTTGAACCTAACTCAACCTGATGAACCCAATATCTCTTTATTTCTTGGATTTAATATGATTGTTGAATTTCTATTAATATATACACTAGACAATTACATGATAACGTACGCTCTTCATATACACATATATTAAATCTTTTCACATATCTATATAAATCATTTGTATATATGTTCAGTAAATGTGAACATATATCTATACTATATTATAAAGCATTTGACAAAATCTTTTAAAAACCATTTTTTGTGTGTAAAGTACTGTTTTTAATGCATATTACTTAAAACTCAAGATTGCAAGTAGATTGTGCGTAAGTACAACTTATTAAATCTTCATATCTGAATTCGTGTAACTAACTGCAGATAAACATAATCAAATACAATATAAACGTCTCATTTTAAATATAAAAAATCTAAAATATAATTAGTATAATCATTGAGTTTTAACAGAATACTTAATTATTATCTTTATAAAATGTTATATTTTTAAACCAAATATAAATTATTTCGTTATTAAACTTAATTTAAATTATCTATACTACATTATAAAGCATTTGACAAAAACTCTTAAAAACCATTTTTTATGCATGAAATACTCTATATTAATGCATATTACTTAAAATTCAAGATTGCAAGTAAAATTACGCATTAATTACAACTTACTAAAGCTCCATGTTTAAATTCGTGTAACTAACTATGGATAAATATAATCAAATAGAGGATAAACATTTTATTTTAAAATATAAAAAATCTAAAATATAATTAGGATAATTATCGAGTTTTTAACCGAATGTTTAATTATTATTTTTAATAAAAAATTATATTATAAAACAAAAAATAAATTACTTTGTTATTATATCTAAACTAAATTATAATAAAAAATTGAATTAAAGAAGTTACAGCAAAAAAATGAAAACTATTAAATAGTTAAAGCATTTGACAAAAACTCTTACAAACCATTTTTTTAATGCATAAAGTACTGTATATTACTTAAAATTCAAGATTACAAGTAAATTATGCATTAAGTACAACTTATTAAAACTTCATGTTTGAATTCGTGTAACTAACTATGGATAAACATAATCAAATAAAGGATAAACATTTCTTTTTAAAATATAAAAAATCTAAAATATAATTATGATAATTATCGAGTTTCTAACCGAATGTTTAATTATTATTTTTAATAAAAATTAAAAGGGTACTCGTGCAATGCATCGAGACACATTTCCATTTCAATGTTTCGTTTTATTTTTTATCCATGTCAATATAATACGATTTTTTGTGGTTTTAAGAAACCGATATTTTTTTATTTTTGAATAAAATA